CTCTTTGGGAGAGGTCATTGTAAGTATGAGGATGAATGAATGAGAATGAAAGCTACATCAAAACCCTCCCAAAGGGTTGTTGTGCAGAAGTAGATTTCAGCCAAGTCTCCTCCTCAGAGTAGCGTATTGCTTCTCCAAACTGTATTCTAAAATCCATACAGTTATACCCCACTGGGTGTGGCCCAAACATGCTGGCTGACCTACATTACCAGCTGCACATAATAACTAACATCATAAGATTTTTCTTTAACTCATACTTGATCCTGCTATGACTTACTGTAACAAGGGTGACTAAATAGATGTCCCTTCCCTCCAAACTCTACTGCAGTGGTTGTATTTTATGTCACCTTGCAATGAATGGTTGCAGAGCTGTTTATAACATCCTGATCTTGGATAGTTACAGCCTCGCAATGTATCTCTTTATGTTCTTCAAATACCGTATGTGTGAGAAAGGCGCAAGGGTGGACCTGCTGGGGTGCCACCGGCGGGGGGGGGGGGGGGGGGGGGGGGGGGGGGGGGGGGGGGGGGGGGGCTGGAATTGAGGACACACTGATCATATTTGCAAAATGAACTTCAATAGGGAAAAATGGAGAGAAGATTGGCAGTGATCCCATCCTTACTTTGGCACCAAACGAGCTGAACAACCCTATGCACTTACCCCTCATAGTGTGACCCATCAACCCACACTAAAATCCAGTCCTTCTCCCTGTAAGCTTCATAAAGTCCAATCCAGTATCCATTGGAGTGCTGAAGATCCTAGGATGAAGAAGAAGGTGTTGGTGGAGATGGAAGCCCTATGAATTGCCCCCAGAAACACCCAGAAACAGCCTGGCAGCCAGTGGAGCCAATGCAGGAAGGGGTGGGTGGGCCACCCTCCTCACAGACAACCCTGGTTAGCAACCTGGCCACTGCACTTCTGAACACTCTTCAAAGGCAGTCCCACAGAGAGTGCAATACAGCCATCCAAATGGGATTTTTTTTTAATAACTTGAGAACATACTGCAAGTCACTTCTGGTGTGAGAGAATTGGCTGTCTACAGAGATGTTGCCCAGGGGATGCCCGGATGTGTTATCATATCATCCTGCTGGGAGGCTTCTCTCATGTTCCTGCAAGCTAGAGCTGACAGATGGGATGTAACTAAGGGATGGACCACCGAGGCCAGATCTGGCATCTTGAAGAATGGGCGCAGTTGGCGCACAGGTTTGAAGTGTGCAAAGAAGGCATGGCTGGCCACTGCAGGATCCTGCTCCTCTAGGAGCCAAGCACCCAAACTGCAGACCTGTATTTCCTAGGGGAACATGACCCCATCTGGCATAGGCTGAACCACTATTTCCAAATTTGTCTTTCAACTGACCAGGAGCACATCCATCTTGTCTAGCTTATGCTTCAGTTTGTTTGCCTTCATCCAGTCCATTACTGAAGAGAAACACAGGCTCAGCACCAGAACTTTGCTTTAGGTGGGAAGGAGAAGGAGAGTTGGGTGTCATCTGCATACAGGTGGCACCGCACCCCAAAACTCTGGATGACCTCTCCCAGCAATTTCATCTATATATTGAACAGCATGGGAGGCAGGACTAAGCCCCGAGGAGCCCCATAAAACAGTGGCCAGGGATTCAAATGTGGTTTCCCRGGCACCACCAGGAAGGAAAGCAATGCTTCCCAGTCCCATCCCAGTGAGGTGGCCCAGGAGGAGACCATGGCCAATGTATCGAAAGACACTGTAAGGTCCAGGAGAACCAACTGGGACACCCCCCCCCCAACACACTGTCCAGTTCGCTACATAGGCCATCCACCAAGGCAACCCAAAGTATCTTTGTCCCATAACCAGACCTGAAACCAGACTGAAATGGATCTAGATAATCACTTCATCCAGAAACACTGGAGTTGGGAGGCCCCCACATGCTCCCATACCTGGCTCAAAAAGGGAAGGCTGGACACTGGCTGATAGTTATCCGTTATGGAAGGGTTCAAGGACGGCTTTTTTGTTGGCAAGTTGGGATTCTGCCTTGTTTCAGGAGGCATTGACCACTGCCTTCACCCACTCTGTCAGGCCTCCCTGACCTGTTGAATCAGCCAGGAGGAGCAAGGTTGTAGGACACATGTGGTAGCTCTTACCTCTTTGGCTCGTCCCATCCTCACCAGGGCATGCCACATCTCCCGTTGCTCCCAGGGCTCTTTGGGCATAAGCAGCTGGGATGACTTCCCTTCACAGTCTTCCCGGCTTTTCTGCCAGTTCTTCTTCTGTTGGGACACCCAGATGCATTTCCAACCGAAGAGAGTCCAGCCGCCTGGGCAGCAGTCTGTGGACGCGTTGCACATTGCAAAATAAGACATTGCACAGAGCGACCCCTTCCTATTCACAGCCTGTCTTTCTATTGCTGATAACTGGAGAGACCTTCCTGGCATTCAGCATCTCCACTCCTCTGGAGGAGGCCTTTCCCACCAATTTGCTACCATGACCGGATCTGGCATCTCAAGGTATGAGATTTACCTATTTATCTATTTATCTACCAACCTATCTATTTATTTATTTATCTACCTACCAATCTATCTATTTATATATCTACCTATTTGTTGTTTGATGTTTGAACGGGTTATGAGATGTATTGTGTTGTTATTCTGGTGTTAATATTTGTATACTATGTTTTTATGGTTTTAAATTGTATATCGTTGATTGACTTTTTACCCTTGTTGTAAACCGTGTTGAGTCGCCGGCTGGGCTGAGAAACTGCGGTATACAAGTAAAGTAAATAAATAATAAATAAATAAATAAATAAGTGTGAATTGTGCAAAGGCATTCCTGGCCACCACCCACACCTGAGCTCCCAGGATCTGCTTCCAGGGTCAATTTATTTGCTCTTCCCAGAGCAAATCAATTGAAATTAAATCCTGTCAAGATAGGGGTGCTCCTGGTCAGTCGGAAGGCAGATCAAGGTATGGGGATACAGCCTGTGCTGGATGGGGTTACAGGTCCGCAGCCTGAGGGTGATCCTGGACTCATCGCTGACCCTGGAAGTTCAGGTGTGGGTGGTGGCCACAAATGCCTTTGCACAATTCAAACTTGCACACCAGGTGCACTCATACCTTGAGATGCCAGATCTGGTCATGGTAGTCCCTGCCTTAGTTACATTTCATTTGGACTACTGCAACACCTTTTACGTGGGGCTGCCTTTGAAGATAGTTTGGAAGCTTCAGCTGGTTCAGAGATCTGCATCCTTTCTAGGCTGTCCTCACCCCACCAAAGAGACACGGTAACCTAGATGTCTTTTAAAAGTGCTGGACAAAACCACAATGGACACAGGACCAGTAACTGCCTGTTGCTGGGCACGCATGCAATGTGAGTGTCCATGTGGAAGCACAGAGTGGCTCCAGCCCTTGGAAATGCCAAGGAAGCATGCTTGACAGAGACATCACTTGGGAAGGGGGCAACCAACACATCTGGAAGGAAAATAGAAAAAAGAGAAAGGGGCACCAAGAGCAGCTACTAATCACCTAATCACAGCCCAGGAAGCAAGGAACGTACCTGTCTGCCTGCAGATGGTTGCCTGGAGCAGATTTGCCTCCATCCGGTCCTTCTCCCACTTCACGGCCTCCAGGTTGCGGTTGGCTTCCCTTAGGAACTCTTCTGTCTCCTGCAGCTCCTCCTGAGTCTTTTCAGTGGACTCTCGGCTCTTGCGAAGGGCCTCTCGGACAGAGGCCAGCTCCTCCGTGGCCTGCTGCAGCTCTGCCTCTGTCTCGTCCTTCTCCTGCTTCAAAGTACCCAGGCTGTGGCTGGCCTCCCTCAGCTGCTCCTGGGTCTTTCTGGTGGCCTCCTGGCTCTTCCGAAGGGCCTCCCGGGTGGAGCTGAGCTCGGTCATGGCCTGGCGCAGCCGGTCCTCCTTTTGTGTCAGGCTCCCTTCTTGGAGATCAATCCTCTGCGCCAGGGCAGTGCTCTGAGCTGCGTGCTTTTGCAATGCCTTCTGGAGCTGACCAGAGACCTGCCAGTCTGCAAGGACGTGGCATGGCAGCAAGAGGGAAAGATAAAGGGGGAAGGTGACATACAGCAGATCCTCAGGAACCTGCCTGTAAGGGACCCTGATGCCGAGCATCCCCCCCCTCCCAAGTACTTATAGTTCTGCCAAGGGCAAGGGCACCAGACTACACAGCAAGGATCAAGTCTTGGTCACATTGCCAAAGCACTGACAATAACAAGGACCCCATGAGGCTTTTGGGAAACGGCTGGACCTTGGGACTTCTGCCCTCCATGAGAGTTATAGTTTCCCAAAAAACCCCAAGCTATGGATCTTGTTACCAGTCAACTCAGCGCCCATCTGCTAACCTTAACCAGGAAAAATGACTTTCTGCTTGCTTGCTTTGAACTGCAAGCCACCTCCATTTCCACAAACTTTCTCCAGAACCATGGGACTCCAAGTTTTCAATTAAAATCAGTTCCTCTATTAAATATACTTGGGATGTGGGACAAAGATGGGGTTTTGTTGCCATGAAATGCTTATGATTTGAATGTATGTATCTTGCTTTGAAATATGGTCTGTTCCCCCTTTCCCCTCGACCCTTGCCCCATAAAGATGTGACCTGAAGATTACTGTGTTGCCTTGGGGAGAGGCTCCTTTGTTCTCCCCAAACCCTCCCTGATTGACTCATCAGCATGGAACAATACTGTTGATTCCCAACCCTAGCCCTCGGAGCATGTCCAGCGAGGGGAGGGGGTCAACAGAAATCCGGAAGAAAAGGACTGATTAAATCACACAAAGACAACGTTGATCCACCTTTTGAGGTCCATTGTCTGGCCAAATATTTTCTTCCCCCAAAACCATTTCCAACAGGAAAACCTTTGTTTACAGCGGTCACACCTTGCCAGCCAAGACAAAGCCTCACATTCCATTCTGGCTGGCAATCTGTAATCCCATCATTCCCCCCTTGCCTGCGGTTGTCCCGCCTGGCCTGCTTCTGATTCGTAAGGAAAGCCTGCTGATTGGCTCTCCAGGGGCAGAGGGCGGGAGGGACATTTGAAATGTTTTCCTTTGTATTTTTGCTATAAATACGCCTGTATTCTTTGTATTGCTATGCTTGTGGTGGAATGATCCCTGCAATGCATCCGGTATCAGCTGAATCGCAAATAAACTTCGGTTGCTGGAAACTTCTTCCACCTTGATGAGGCATTATTAATTGTAATATTTTGAGATTGGCTTTGCTGGCCTCACCAAGGCATCCAGGGCCCTTTTTTTGGCGCGGTCCTCGGGTTCCTCTCTCTTGAGGAGACCCCACTAAAAGCAGCTCAATATCAACCCCACTGAGCTTTGGCCCTTCTGCTGTAGGGCTTTTGGGCAGGCGAGACGGCTAAGGTTGGCAAAAATGCCTGGCGCCAGCTTGTCATCTTGTTGAGCCTGGTTTTGGACATCTCCCCAGACTTCCACTTGCCCTGACCCCAAAAGGTCAGCTAAACATATTGGTGAGATCTGTGTGCCCAATGAGCAGCCCCCACCTCTATTTCATTGGGTTCTTTCTCCCCAGGAAGAACGGAATTTGGGCAGGGCTCCCCCCTCCCCAAACATACACAGCAGCTACTCACATCGGATCCCAAGTCCTACAGCAGCAGCCAGGAGAATGATGCAAGTGGTCAGTACTGCCAGGCCGGCACCCTTTAGCCACGGCTTGGACCCTGGAGGAGAGAACCAAAGGGGTTCTTTTGTAGTTCTTTTAGCACCAAGACTTTGGCACAGCTGGCTGGGAGTCAGCTGCATTAGATCACTATGGACCAAAAAGTCATGAGTCAGCCTGGGTTGGAGTGAGCTTCCGACCATTGTGTAGCTCCCTGTCGACCTTTGCAACCCAGAAGAAAGTTGCATCTGTCAAGTAGGAAATTTTTATGTACCACTTATGTGGGGAGGCCAATTTAACTAACTTACGACACCATAAAAATCTCCAGCAAGCATGCAAGGAATGAGGAAGTATTCCATCAGTGTCACAAATGAAGCGACAGCTCCCCTGGTGGCCAGAATACCCTCATGAAAAAGCTGGAATGTTAAATAGCCTCTGTGTG